GCCAGTATAAAGATTTAATGAAAATGTCATGTGTCTACGGTAATTTGTTTTAGAGTTACACCAATATCTAAAATCGATTTTGAGTAAAAATTCCCGTTTTCCTTTAATTTTGTTTCATTTTTCCYGGTGCTTTTGAAAACTACTGAAAATTTCAAAATTTGACCACCCTGATGCATCAACTAGGTTCACTTTCTAACCGGAAAAACTACTGAAGTTGAACATTGAAGCATTATTTCGATATCTTATCGTATAAACAGACACACAAAAAAAAACTAAATAAAAAACAAACATCATTGTAAAATCATTACATTCATTGCTCCGCTCAGAATCTGATAATAGTACTTTTAGMATTAATTGTACAYAAATTTAATGAAATAAAACGAACAAATATTTCTATGCATTTCAAATGAAAAAAAGAAAGTTGATACTTAAACTAAAGATAACGATTTAAGTAATTTTATTAATTTAAAATATTGTTTGTGYAAAACTAGGTATCTACTTGAAACCATTAAAGTATATTATGTATTATACACATAATGACATTTTAAAATGCAAAATTCTATACTTTCAGCTAAGTTTAACAATTTGTTCTGATCTATCTTGTTTTATGATAATTAGAGCCCGGAATTATCTATATTCTTTTGCATATTTTTTATGATTCTAAGCAGTCAGACGGGGGTTCGAAATCTTTACGAATCATGAAACAGGTGTAATAATGGCAAACGTTTTTTTTTGCATATTTGAGAATATTTCAAGATAAAAGAATGTTTCGTATAATAAAGAATATTAGAGAATATATCGATTAATTTGTATAGATGTTCGGTATTTTTGGTTGCAGTGACGTAAATAATATAAATTATAATATGTCCGATAATAGTGATAATTACATGATATTGAAAATATACTTATATATTTATATACCATCGTCCATCGTATATACGATTATTATACCCTACGTAGTAATGTGCTGCAATCCACTGTAGTATATAAGATATGTGACTTACTGACTTATCTAAGATAACAATGCCCGACAAAAAATGGAATTACTACACAAAAATAGCTAGCTCCAAGCAAAAAGCATGTTTTTGGCATTTTTAATAATGATTTTTAAAGAATATTGGAAGAATATTTTAACTTTTTAAAAGAATATTAGCATCTTATCTTGGCTATTTTTAAAGAATATAATTCCGGGCCTATGATAATACATTAACTGCAAATATTTCAAAATTAAATGTGGTATTAGGAATACCTAACATAACTATTCAATTTACAATATTGAGTCAACATTTATAGTGTTAACGTTTGTTTTTTGATAAGGACTTGAAATTAAAGATCAAATATATTATAGCATTTAAGAATGACGACCTATTAATGGGAACTATGTTATGTATTCTTTGAAGTTTAAAATATTGTAGTATTTCTCCAATACTTAGGAATATAAGACCCTAAGAATTATGTATAGTCTTAATTTAATAAATTTTTACGTGTATGGTATATTAATTTGAGGTTATACTAATAATATACTCATATTAAATTAACAATTAATTTAAATTTAAACTAATTGTTAAAGTTCACATATTTAATTAAGCTTTTTGAATAGGTTACATACATTTTTTTCTTAGTAGCGACCTGACCAACCTTGTCAAACCTAGGATGAAATCTTCTTAAATTAAWATTATTAATTTTCAATATTTATCTTACGCTGTTCTCACTAGCGTACGCAGGRTATTTCAATGAGGGAAGGGGGCTTGAAAATAAATAATTACAGACTGTCAACACCCGTTAAATTTATAACCGATGGGGGCTGGAGCCTGGGGTGGAAGTAATGTGAAAACAGTYCCCGCTCCGGTCYTCGATTCCATGGAAAAAAAAAAGGTTTAATAGGTTTAACTCGGGCATTGGTATAACGATGCTAGGAGCTAGGATAGACGGATAGTGTTGCTACATCAGTTCAATTGTTATCATAGATTATAGATTTATATGGATTGTGGCAGTGGCATCATGACTACTGACTATGAAATGTATAAAAATATTATCTATGAACCTTAGGAGTTTAGTCAGTTTAGGACAATAAGGTTTGCATTGTTTGCAATAAATAGGTAAACA